TGGAAAGCAGAAGCATGAATAAAAAAGGGATTACTGTATAAAGTTTTTGTTTTCAATTAAGATGATCTTTTGTGAACTTATCACTATTAGATACTTACACATCGTTTAAAAAAATGTGACTTGGTATGGTTTTCATTTAACAGGGTGCTAATGTTTTTTCTTTCACAGTGTGATACTGATATTGGGACAGATCACATTATATGTACAAATGATACCTTTCACAGTTCCTTTAGTGATACTTTGATCTACTGAGAAAACAAAACACATAATTTCTGAAGAAACAGTATGACTAGTTTGTTGAAAACTAGCTTAATTTAAGTACTCAGAATTAAATTTATAATTTGGCATGTCATAGCAATATTCAAATACATAGAAGAAATACATATTTCTCTAAAACATCAATTTACAATAATTTCTCTTAAGAAATTTCCCTAAATAGATATAAATTCTCTTTTCTATGTCTAAAAAATTGCTGGTGGTGATATTTTGTATTCAATATATCCTAAATGTTCTTATTAGTATATTCCTCTAGCACCTTGAAGTACTTATGCTATGCTGTTAGAGAAACCTGTGTGCTCTGCAGTTTTGACAGACCGCCTGCCCTCACTTACGAAGCTGAGCTTCTCGACTGAGGCATAGATAGGCTTGGGCCATGTGACTTCATCACAGCAGTTTTGTTGCCAGTTGTAAGCTGCTGTATACAGGCACCTCCCTCTTATGTTTCATCCCCTGCCCAGGGAATGAGTTTTATCAACAGAAGAAAAAATACAACCCTGGGAGGTTGTTTATATGTCAGTAAAGTTGCTCAGCAGAAAATAAAGCAAACCAGTGCTATTACTGACTGACTGAGACTTTTCTTAGAATAGTTTTACTGTCCACTTTTCACAAAACAAGGCCTAGAAACCTGTATTTATTCAGCCTTCCCTGTCTCTTGCCCTATGCCTGTCTCCACACTAGGAGAATCCTTGCTTCTTCAGATGCTGACCTTGAGACGGTCAGAGAGAATGGGCTGTGCATGTGTTCTCTCTTGTGATGAGAAGAAAAAGGAGAGGCTGGCCACGTGGAGTGCCAGGAAATGATCAGCATCTGACATGGCCAAGGAGCCTGGCTTTGAATTCCTACTTGTACACTTACTATGTGACCTTGGGCATCTGCCAATTTCTCTATGCCTTAGTTTTTTCTTTTGTCAGTTGTGGGTAATAATAATATTTGCCTTAGAGTTGTTGTGAGGATTAAAGAAAATATTACCCAAAAAAGTACAGTATAATCTGCATAATGGCTAAGAATTTATACTCTGGAGCCAAACTGCCTGGGTTTGAATCTTTGCTCTGTTAGACAATTTTTTAATTCTTCAGACTCTTTATCTGAAAAATGAGAATTAAAAAAATACTACCTATTATTACAAATAAAATGCTTCCTGGAATTTTTGAAAGAATTACATTAATTAAAATATATGAAGTACTTAGTCCAGTGTCTGGCACCTAGTGAACATTATTTACTAATTTTTTTAAGTACTAATTTTTATTAAAATGCTTAGATGAAGTCTGATATAGAATATGCACTCAAGAAATAGTTGCTATTTTATAGGGAGTTCCTATTTTCTAACAAAACTAGTTTGAAGTAGTATTTGTAGAAATCTGGGACACTAGCTAACTGAAGTCACTTGGTGAAGTTACTGGCAGGATTAAGTGCCGTTTTCAATTTGGTGCACTTGCTGTGCCATTGAGCAGCCTAGTTAAATGCCTCCCTCCAGCAGTGGTTACCTCCCTAAGTTCAAGCTTAGATGGAGTGGATGGTGTGATTCATTCAAGGCTGCAGTTTCTCTGGGCATATTCAACTAAGGGGATTGAAATGATAGGTCCTTGAACCTAATTTGGACAGAAAGGAAAGACAGGAGAGATTCAGAGATAGAGAAGTAGAAAGCTGTGTTTGTGTTTGTGGTTCCAGCAATGTCTAACAAGTCTGATGGTAAGGGTATTTTAACAAACTGAAAAGACAGTATGGTCTGTTTAAGGAATCGGCTGCTTGATTTAGCCACTTTAGTGGTAGAGAAGTTTCAGGTAGTGACACCAGCAAGTTAAAGTGTTTACATTAAAAAATCTAAAGGCTGGACTACAGAACATAGATAATTGTTTGCAATACATTTATCAAAATTCTCATATCCAACATTTATAAAAGAGTCCTACAAATCATAAGCAATAATAGTTACCCTAATAGAAGATGGGCAGAGGATTGGCACATGTATTTTACAAAATGTCCGATAAACATGAATTTTAATTCTCATCAGAAAAATGCAAATTAAAGCTACAATATGATGTTGTTGCTTCCCACCAGGATGGTTAAGATGAAAATGACAATGCTAAGAGCAACTAAAAACTCCTCTATACAGGTGATGTACATAGTACAACCACTGAGGAAAATTGACATTGTTATTAAGGCTGAGCAGCACATAGCCTTGACCTAGAAAATGCACTCCTGTAAATATACACTCCTCTGTGTGTGTGTGTGTGTGTGTGTGTACACATATACACTCAGCAACACAAATACCTGCTTGTGTGTACAAAAAGATGTATAAACAAGAATGTTCACAGGAATGTTATTCTTAGCAAAAAACTGAAAACATCACATAAATTCTAGATGTTTATACAATGGAGTACTAATTGATAAATTATAAGAATATGCATGTATATATTTCAAATATAATGTGTGGAAGAAGCTAGACCCAAAAAACATAATACTGTATAATTACATTTGTTAAAATTAAAACCAGCAAAACTAACCTGTGGAGTTAAGTTGGGATAGTGATGACCAAGGTCTCCAGTGGCCCCTGGGATGCCCCTCGTGTATTGTTTCTTGAACTAATTTGGTGGTTATGTGGGTGTATTTTCTTAGTGAAAATTCACTCTGTGCTTAGGATTTGTGTGTTTCTGTCTGTTAAATTTCCATTTTAAATTATATTAGATCAGAGGGCTTGAGAATTTGAGAAATGATAGTTCACTTTTTCTACTTGCCAGATCTCCCTAGAATTAATGATTTCATTTTTTAAAAAAAATACAACTCTTTACTGTAAGCCAGAAAATTAATCAGTTTGGCTTCCAGTCCTCTTAAATTATGTCCTCATGACAGCAAAGAATTCTCAAGAGCAACAACTAAGTACTTGAGTAGTATACTTTAAAGTAATGATTAGTTTGTATTGATCCTGCCACTTCACTTAAACTGTGACAGGTTTCATGGACCACATGCATAAGTTCTATATAAAACTGTAGTTTGGAGCTTTGTGGAATCGATCTTTTTAACTTTTCTGTAAGTGATGCATTGTCATCCCACAGATCAGATCTGGTGCTTTTAAAGTTTAATTGAAGAAAGAGTTTTATGTGATCCAGCTGTGAGGCAAGTTTGATGGTGCTTGAATGAGCATTAGTTGCAATTGATGCTTATTGCTTTGACTGCATGATGGTGCCCATGATGCTGTTGTAGTGACTTAGTGAGTTTCAGCTTTGGATGGAATTTGTTTTGTTTAGTCTGCATTGTGCTCCAATTGATGATTGAAAACTTTACACTTTGGCAGAACATTGCTTAATAGCTCTTCCCTTTTCTGCTATTTTTATATCACATGAATCATTGCACACTTAAGCCATCTGCAAGGCCTGAATGGAATGAGATAAAAAGCTGCCATGCCTTAGACTGACACTTGAAAAGCTATTATTCACTTGTAATTTATTCTTGATTATCCTTTATAGTTTAAAGTTTCAAGCTTCATTTCAAGATTGTTGCTAACATCTTTGAGCCAGAATTATCTCTAATTCAGCTTCTTTTAGCCTGAATATTGGGCCAAAGGGAGGAGATTCATCCTGTGTCAACCAGAAGAATCTGCTTAAGACTCCATTCTCTCTCAATTAAGATAATAAAGAACAGCAAGTTGTACTCCTGTTTTAAAAGTATGTTGGTTTAATCAGCTCAACAGTTTGCCATCAACCTTGTCGGGAATAGTAAAACCATAAGGTTCTTAAATTACCAGGTGAATACTTGAAAATAAATGTATTTTTGCTTGCCTACAACATGTCACACCTGTTAGATATATGTCAAAAATGTTTCTCACCATAGCAACTTTTTTGAAGGTTTAGTGAAGAGGAAAAAAAAGGTAAAAACATGGCCTGAGATGTTGCAAACAAGTTTCGTGATTAAAAGTGTATACTCACACTCATAGTCTCTCACTATAGATGTGTAGAAATCTAGCATTTGTATGCTGTATAATAGATTAGTCAGTGTTCCTTAAATAAAGCCTTTTCAACAGTTAAACCCTCTGAATGCAACTTTTCCCAGGGTCACAAGAAGAGGGAGTCCCTTGAACTGAAGTTAGCTGGAATTGTATAAATTAGGGAGGAAAGTACAGATTCATTTCAGGATGAGAAGTTACTTCAGTTTGGGGCAAATTGACTATTAACACTCAGTTCCCCCTCTTCATAAATAATATCATTATAATACTGTGACGACTGAGTAGTCTTAAACCCTAAAACTAATAGAGGGTATGGAATATAAAAATTGCCTTATTTCATTTCCTTGAGAGCCTAAGATGATAGACCAAAAGAGGCAATGACCTACACAACTAAGTACAATGGACTTTTTATTTTCCAAACAGAAAGGTCTCAAAAATAGAACGCTCTACTAAGAATCTAAGAATAAAGCTACTATTTCTACATGTCCGATTATCCTAATGAATCTCCTTGGGATCTTAGGCAAGTCACTTAGTGCTTCTTGTATGTTTTCTCCCATTTTGCTGATGTACTGTAAGTATTTAGAAGACCCCAAGTTTTTATTTAGGCTGTGATATTTTGAACATAAGTAATACCTTTGAGGTTTTTATTTTCTTTGAAGGGAGAGTTTTTATTTTTGCTTACAGATGAAACTGGGAATGATTGCAGTAGAGGGGGGCTTTATTTTACATAATTCATATGAATTGTGCTTATTTTTCATTTAGTGTTGTTAACTTCTTTATTCAGCAGACAGAAGGTGGAGCACAGACAGATGGCCAGCAGTCGCAGACACAAAGTAGTGAAAATTCAGAGAGTAAATCTACCCCTAAACGACTGCATGTCTCTAATATTCCTTTTCGCTTCCGGGACCCTGACCTCCGACAAATGTTTGGGGTAAGTCTCCAAAGTCCTTATGAATTTTACCATTAAAATAGGATTTAATCCAACGGGTGTGCTATTATTCATCTACTCTAGACATTTGCTTTGCAGGTCACACAGGTGACCAGGCAAGAGGGTTTGCTGGGACTGAGGGGTTTCTTGTAACCTGAGACTTTCAGTGCTAAGACCAGAATGAGATGGCCACCCTACTCACACATAAGCCTTAGCACACATATCAATAATATGCTTAGGTTTACCTAAATGAAAAAAGCACTGTTTTAATGCAGTGACTCCTAAACTTGTCTGTACTTAGGAAATCCCTTGAGAAGCTTAAAAAGTACTGATGCCTGTGTACCACACCCAGAGGTTGTGATTTAATTGGCCCAAGATGCAGTGTAGCCTAGGCAATTTTACAAGATCCCCAGGTGATTCTAATGTGTGGATAAGTTTAGGGGGCCATTGTTTATTCATCCCATAACATTTTTAGCCTTCTAGGTAAGCCAGAACATTATTGCTTTTCTCTCATCATACACTGCCAATCATAGAACTGTTCTGTGCTTCAGGAATACATTATTCCTGCTCTCTATTCCATCTTTGCAGTCTCAGAAGACAAAAGGGTGTAGAGAATATGGGTTTAGAAGTGGCTCATTAAAGTGAAAAGTGTGTGGATTTTGACATCAAAGAATTTGGAACTGAATTCTGTTTGCTCATGACCCAGGGACATTCACAAAACCTCTTTCAACTTGAATCTCATATCTAAATATAGAAATGCCTTTCAGTGTTACAAATTAAATGGAATAATGTCAGTGAAAGCAAATAGTGCCTCTGTTTTGTTTTTACTTCCTTGCTCATACTCAGTAATGTCAAGACTGATATCTAAGGAAGGTATAGAGGGTTGGTTTGCTATCTCATGTGTTCCTGAGCTATTTACCTCCTCCTGAAATCACCTTCATGAAAACAAAGTGTAATAACAGAACAATTTGAGCTGTTGTAAGTGAATGACTGCGAAGAGTCTTAATTTTTTCTGATCCTGAATGCTGTTGCCTGTTGTAATTTGACAAGACTCTTGACCAAGAGAGATAATCAGTGGTTTTGTGAAACTTTCACTAGGATAGCTGCCTAGTGCTTTGCTTAAAAACAAGATTCTCTGCTTTAAGTCTTTGCTGTAGCCATTTCATGCTGTCAAGACACTATACTTGATCTTAGCCAAAAGGCCAAGAAGCAATGCATGGCGTCAAGACATTGGAGCAAAGCTCTGTCACTTAGAGCTAACTACCTGGCCATATTTTTCCCACTGAAGAGAAAGTCACAGTTGAGATCTTCTGAAATTTTTAATTTTTATTAGAGCATATTTGCACTCTGTAATGATTACATTCGTCATGGAGGGTTGGTACATGTAAATAACACACCTTAATTATTTTTTACTTTCCCTTCCTATGCCCCGCTTCTCCCTCCCTCCCAAGGTGAGGTTGAATGATGTTCTGGCAGTACTTGGAGAGCTTGTATACAGAATATGATAACCAGCTTCTCTGTATCTTTACAAAGAGAGCCACCAGAAATAGAAAGGACAGCTAAAGGACTTATTTTCCACATAAGAAGATTGTTCCCAACACCATGAGTTATTAGGTTCTCTTCTGAATCATCTAAGACAGTGAAGACTCTTAGTCTTTGGAGTCTATGAGAATGGAGTACATTCTCATCTATCAGAGATGTGTTTTCTCATGAATCAGAAAAGTAGTGCCCTAGGCCAGTTAGTGATTTCTTGAAATATATTGTGCCCTTCCCATAAGGCAGAAAATAAAAAAGAAATATTTTTTCCTAGCAAGGGACACCTCATTCCTCTGTTTTCTTCTATTTGGTTAATGGCTACTAGCCATTGGTAAACAGCAGGGATTCCATGCTCCATATTATTAGCTCTGTAAACTTGACAAATAGCTTCTATCAGCCTCAATTTCCTTAGCCATAAAAGGAAAACAAACTTTTCTCCAGAAAGATCATATAAGAATGCTATATGAAATATAAAACAGAACAAACTCTAAAGCAACACACAAATCTTAGTTTTATACGGTAAGTATAGAAATATAACTAAATGCTCTCCTATCTAAAATAAAACATTTTTTCCTGCTTCCTTAATTCTAACTATTAAATAAAACTGGAATCAAGCCTGGATGTGTTATTCTAGAAAATATGGGTTCTTAGTACATGTTTTTTGATAAAGATAAGCAATAGTTCAGTCCAGTGGAAAAATATGATTTTTGTTTCCTGTTTTTAGTCATCCCATGCCCCCCCCCCCACCAATTTGAAATCTGGCTGAAATAAATAATGGAGTTTGCGCCCAGTTACCCGGAGATTTCCTGTTTGTGCCTTCAGTTCAGTTCATGGAAGTATTGACTGGAACATTTTTGCCATATATATATATATGAATATATGTATATATTCATATATATATATGAATATATGTATATATTCATATTCTTCAAAATAATTTTGTGCTTTGTATAACCCCTCTAGTCAACTACTAACCACCTGACAGAGGAATTATTTAGGGTTTGTATGGTTAGCTGCATTTGGTTTCAGTGTTAAAATACTTAAGTAATTGCTAAATATAATACTTAAAAGTTCCTATTTCTTACAGAAGTATTAAAGTGACAGATAAATGAAGTCATCCTTAATGTATCATCCTATAAATATGTGAAATAGTTTATATCTACAGAATTGATAATGCAGTATGTATTTGTTGTATTGAATAGTTGTTCATAGTCGACTGGTGGTTACTTACATCGCCCTGTATCTGAGGGAAAGCCTGGTTGGCTATGTACCAAAATTCTAAGGTGGTGGGATTGCAGATGATTTTTATTTTCTGCTTTCCCTTTTCCTCTTTGGGTATATTTTCTAATTTTTATACAATGAATGTGGTTTACTTGTGTAAAACTTGGGGGGAAAAGGGAAGGAAGACAGCCTTCAATAATATATATTTCTGCTTTGTAAAATTTACTTTCTTAAAACTGAGACATTTAAAAAGTTAGAGCAGTCGTTAGAAAAATCCTTAGTTCTTGTCCAAATGAAGAGGTACATAAGGCCACACTGTGAAGGTCTTTGGACAATGGCTTTATACACAGAAGTGGATGATGCATGAATGAGGGAATTAAGAAAGGGGTAAAAACAGAGAAGCTCTCAGCTCTGTGATGGGTGAAAAATCAAAAGCAAATAGAAACATGAAATTAACTAAGTACTAATTTAAAGAACAAGAAAAAGAAAAGGCTATTCCCTTTTCAGAAGAAAGAAAAGTAGATGCATAAGAAGCTGACCATAAATAAATGTTTTTATTTTTGTCTCTGCAGCAGTTTGGCAAAATCCTAGATGTAGAAATAATCTTTAATGAGCGTGGCTCTAAGGTAAGTTCTGTTTCAATACCAAGTGTGTGTAGTTTCTTTTTGAGTTTTATTTTAAACAGCAGCTATTCAGAAGGCATAAGCAGTTTTGCAAGCTTGGCATAAAAGTATCCCAAGTACCAGCTTGGGTTAGATTATCTGTAAAAATAATTCAGTGGCCAGACTTTATGCTAATACTTAAATTCAGAGGATGACGGGAAAAAAGAGAAGTTGGAGGAGAGTGTGGCAGCATATAGGATGTAGAAGATGGCAGTCCTTGATTGGCCTGAAATTTGGCCTCTGCCAGTGACGGCAAACCTTTTAAAGCTTTCAGTGATATAAACAACCCACTGCAGTACATGTGCCATAGTTTGCCACCACTGGCCTGGGCTTTCTTACTTGAAGGAATAAAGAGAAAACTAAAAAAAGTGAAATCCTATGCTCTGAATTCTGTCCAGACAATGTAGTTTTCTAAAATCCAACTTTAAAGTAGCATATGTAGAACAAATATAATGTTCAATTATTGAATCTAATGTTCTCTCTTGGAATATGTTTTGCAAGGCTTATCCACAGTGAGTAATGACTCAAGAATTCTCCATGAGCCCATTTCTTTCTGTAAGTCTTGCCCAGGTGGGCAAGCTTCAGGATGTGGAATCTCTTCAGTTACAAAGGCAGTGAGTTGATTTTTTTAAAGAGCTGAGATTTTTAATTGAAATTATTTTTCCTATTAACAATTTTTAAATTTAATTTTTATTTAGCTATCTCTGCTAAACTTTGAAAATAGCTCTTGGCTGTGGTTTAATCTCTTAAAAATGTGATTTGAGGAAAAGCTAAAATAAAGCCAATAAATGAGTTAATATTTACCTTTCTTCAATTTTCTCCAAATTGACCATGCTTTGGGAATTGATTTCATATTCATTCATTCATTCATTCTACCCCATCCATTCCCATCCATTTGTATTAATACAAATATAGGGCCGGGGATTTAGCTCAGTGGTTCCTCCGCCTGCCTTGCAAGCGCAAGGACCCGAGTTCAATCCTCAGTACCAAAAAAAAAGAATACAAATATATACCACTGTTCTAATGCTCCTGATTATTATTCCCTTCCTTTATAGAATGTATCAACACTAAAAGTATTTAATTCAGACTATAACAATTATTTAATAATGAGGTCATTATATACTCTATGCTTCAAGTTTTCATTAAAACAAAAAAGATTAATATGTCTGTACAGAACTTTCCCCAGCATTTAACCTGGTGAGTATTTTTAAAGTGAAATCTGTTAACTGCAACCAGTAGCACTATTTATGCTTGTTATGTCCTCACAATAAATTTCTATCCTTTATTATATAATTTGCATTTATTTTTGTGAAGTTTTTAGATATAGTTTTTAGTTTTCCATGGGGAAATGGCCACGGTTTAGAGGTGGAAAGCACATGAATGTAGAATAAGTATGTGACGATTATTGACCACATTGTTTATCTAAAGTATTATTTAGACTTTTTTGGTTTTAAGTGTATGTACTTAAAATAGTTTTAACTCTTAACAACCAAAAGGCCAATATAGTTACATCAGGCATTGAGGACTTGCTCCTTATCAAGAAATGAATTTGATCAAATTACTGTGAAGCAAAGGAAATTGATCTTTCTTAAGGTTTCTTTCATTGAATTCAAGGATATTCCTATTACCAAATTTTCTAAAAATTTACCTGATCCAGTTACTTCTCCAACATAATTTTCATTTTAAAATAATGTCACACGCCTTACTTTTCCCTTTGGGGAATCTAAAGGCATGTACCACTTCCCTTCTCTCTGTTTGGTGTCCTCACTGCCCCCTCTTTCTTTGGGCTGCTAAAGGGCAGACAGAGTACTGTACTAATTAAATTAGTAAGTGTATTAAAAGCAAAGCACAGAACTCAGGATTGCCCTGGACCTGTCTGCCTTTAAGAACTGAGACAAAACCTTATTTTCATCCTTCACCCTCCTGGCTGTTACCTAAAGTCCTTTTTCTGGAGTGGGTTCGCCAGAACTGTTCTGAGGCTGCGAAGAAAGATTATTTTTAAGTCATACCCAAAGATGTCTCCTCTGGGATCCACCTAAGAGAAATTAATGGGCACTTTTCTTTTTGTGAATTAAGTTCTGTTTCTCATTTCCTCTGTATGTTTGGGGTTGACTATAAAATTACAAAATGTCTTGAACCAGACAAAACAAGACTTTATGTGGTCATATTGTTTTGGATAAGAGTTGCTCTGACTTAAAGTGTTTTTCTGTCCAAAAATTCACTTTATTAAATTTTTTGAAGCAATAATGGAAGAACTAATCACAAAATAAATCTAAAATAAGCAATACTTACATGTAAATCACTGTTAAATTAAATTATTCCAAAACAAAAAGAAACATTTACTTTTTTTTTTTTTTTTACAGTGAAACTATCCAGGGTTCTAGATTGTAACCAATTGAAAACCTAAGAAAACAATGTGCACTGCCACATCCACCCTTCTCTACCTGCCAGTATTCTACCTTTTCTAGCTTTTGGTGGTAAAGTTGCTGCATTCCACAAGCGAGTTATTTCTCTGATTTTGACTGTTTTCCTTTTTTTTTTGCACCGGAGATCAAACTCAGGACCTCTAGCTTGCCAGGCAGGCACTGTGCCGCTGAGCTAAAACCCTGGCCCTGTCTTCCTTTTTTTTGGTACCCTTGATCGAACTTGGGTCCTTGCGCTTGCGAGGCAGGCGGCGGAACCACTGAGCTAAATCCCCAGCCCATCCTTTTTTTTTTTTTTTTTTTTAAATTGACCTTCAAATTCTAAATTTGGCTTACCCAGATTGTATAATATGTAAGTTATTTGATTTGATTTTGTTAGTCATCTTAGTTCTCCTTTGTAAAAACAAAGTCATCTGTATCTAATTTCTATGAGTGACTAAACAGTCATCTTTTGAAAATATATAATTAGGATATATGATATGATACTTCAAAAAAAATAATTTACTCAGACTCTAGAAAATTACTATATGAATGTATATAGCTTTATTGATCCTCCAGATTTCACTAGTAATGACAATATAAACACAGTTAATAAGGTAATGCCTAGAGTGGCCATATGTCCTGATTTATTAAGTCTAACCCTAGTTTATACCTGTTGTATTCCATGGTTATTAATAATGTAGGCTTCTTCAAAATATCCCAGCTTGACCAATAAACTGTTATGCTTTTTATAAAAATCTTTTGAATAACAAGTAAAAAGCATCCTTTTGAAAGGAAAACATGGCCCTTAATGAAAAGTAAAGAGAGAAAAAGCATTCATAGTTCATTTAAGAGGTTATTCACTAGTCCTTTTCCCAGGTTATGTTCTTCTTGTCTTTTTGTTTCACATAAAATCTTTTTTTTTTGAGATAGGACCTTGCTATGTAGTTCAGGCTGGCCTTGAACTCACAGTGAGCCTTCTGCCTTGACCTTCCAAGTGCTGGGACTACAGACATGTGCCACCATGCCATGAATAATGGTCATTTATCCCCCAGTATCCTTGACCTTACAATTCTTTGGTAGAGTCTTCAGTGTTAAGGAAATTTTTACTTTCCATAAAGTTTTTTGTGATAATTATCCAGGTTTATTTTCAAAATTACAGATTATAATATTCCTATATTTCATGAAATTTTATCAAAATGCTTTTAGTGTAGTTGTCCCTTGAAGGAATAAAATGAACACACTGAGTGTGTGGGAGCTCATCACCTCTTCACACAGTGCTGCCTGTCAGGGCCACGGCACAGGAGAGCAGGCACAGGTCCCCTGCAAGCTCTGGCGAGTGCGTGCCTATTATTTCTCTCAGATGGGTCTAATGAGAGGATCTTGGACTAGGAGAGGCTAGAGTTAGGGAACATAAGGCTTCTTCCCAGTCCTCAGACACAATAATGAGCTCCGATTTCTTGCCTATTACCCTGGCTTTTGATTTCATGTGAAGAGAAATTCTTTCTTTCAAAATATGGTCAAAATACTTTCTTTGAAGTCGCACTAAGTAGGTCTTTGTGATTTTAGTACAATTTGATAGGTAATACTGATGTGAAATGTTTTCCATTATACTTAAAACTGAATTAACAGTGCATGTAGTTCCAGAGGTCTTAGTTTATTTTTCTTTTGTTACCATTTTATGGGTTTTAGTTTTACTTTTCTTTTATTTACTTTTTAATTTCTGTGTTCTGGCCATACCCAGGAGATTCGTCTGCTTTTGATTTCTCCCTTAAAAGTTACATGGTAAATTTTCTTTCTCATTCTTCTGAGATGGAAAAATTCAGAGAGTATACAAATTTAAAAATATGTTTACAGTGCTCACCCTATTGCTTGTTATTTATTGCAGCCTGAGGCCAGACTAAAAAAGGTGACAGTTACTCGGCTCCTATATGTCCTTGATGATGAATGGATGTCAAGGCGGGTGATGAAATTGCTGTCCCACTCAATAGAAGTTTTAACTGCAACCATACTCCTGATAAACCATTCCTTTATTTCTTAAGACAGCTAAGATAGCTGGTAAATCACCAATGTAACATTGGCATATTTAACTAATAAGTACTGAATTATTAACATAGACTTTGGGGATTGAGAACTTCCACAGGAGTATATAAGCCTTTTTTGTCCAGTATAGTGGTCACACTGAGCATTGGAAATGTGGAAAGGCTGACATGTCCTATAAGTGTAAGGTACAAGAAAGTGTTAAACGTCTCACTAATAATGTTTATACATTGATGCTATACCAAATTGATAATGTTGTATATATTGGGTTAAATAAACACGTTGTTAAAATTAATTTTACCTATTTCTTTCTACTATTTTAATGTGACTTAGAAAATTTAAAATTATATGTATGGTTCATGTTATAGATCTATTGGGTAGCACTGGTATAGATAAATGTGCCAACATCATCTTTTAAGTTTAGATGAAAATTCTTCATCCTCTTACCTGAAATATTTCCTTTTAAGAGTTTGAAATTCATTAGGAAAGAATTTTTGCCAGCTGTTCCATAGACAGAGGGCT